CTCAAGTAATTTACTTGGCTTCTCGGAGCCTCAGTTTCCCTGCCTGTAAACCAGGGATAATAATAGCACCACTTTGGGTGCTAGGGTGAAAATCAAATGAACTATATATATGTGGAAAGGGCAGAGCATAGTGTCTGGTTCATCATATAGTCAAAAAAAAAGTTTGCATCTCTTTTTAAAATAAACATTTTATTTAAAAATATATATATATATTTAAAAAAAAAAACACATGCCAACTTTGGTATTTTAGCCATTGCTTCTTTTTTTCTTCCTGGTAACCCACAGTTCTTTCTGGTTTGAGCAAAGGAGATCAACTTGAAAACAACACCCCCTACCCTTCTGGCTCCTTGGGCATCTGTACTCAGTGTCTCTGTTTCACCAAGGGGGATTTCATGGTGCCCCAACCACACACTTCCCTTTTCTCTCACTGTGGGCCCACTGGAAAGGAACTCTGGGGAGCAGTGTGAGTTCTCTTCCTTTGGAAAACATTAGAATAGCATTCAGGATCCCCATTGTTGTATTGCTTTTTCCCATAACAACTCAGGACCTGTTCAACCATCTATAGGAGACCCGTGTCACCAGTGTCCACGAAAGGGCAGGTGGTTCAAATAAGGAGGATACATTTGGGAGTTTGTCTTAAACTACAGAGGAAAGCCCCAAGGGCTAGAATCAGCAGGAACTTGCTCGCATGTTTCTGAATCTGGTGGATTCTCTAACAATCTCCCTGGCAGATAGAGAAATTCTTACCAGATCGCTTCCTATCTTAAAATCATTTCCTTGTGCATATTTTCAGGCTAGCCAGGGCTCCTCTGAAAGTGTGGATTCTAGAATAAACCCTGCTTTTTATCACGACCTAGCAACTCTCAGACCTGTGGACACTGTCTCTCGTGATATCATCTGTGGCTGCATCTCAGGCCCTGCAGTTTTTCTCCTAAGTGATGGAGGCTCACCATAGGCACCCTCTCCCCCTATAAGTGTCCCTTTCGTTTAGAAAGTGTATCACAAACATTGAAGATGGGGGTGGGATAAAAGTTTCCTTCCTCTGTCCTTAATGTTCAAGGGACTTCTGTATATAGCAATTAAACCAAACCCTAAAACTCTCACAGATGGTTTAAGTGGTGGGAAATGTTGCAAGATTTCTAAGTGATATAAGTGCTGTTTGATCATCAAGAGACAAGACAAGAATGTTGGTATGGGAAATAATTTCTAACTAAAAGAGGGCTCTCCAGTCTCCTTTCTGGAAAAATGAAAACTTCATTTTCTAAATCATAGCTAAAGGGTTTCTGGCCTGAGAACTGGGAGTTCTTGTTTATAAAAACTACAGCTCCCATCTCACTCAAAATCTGAACCACACTATTGAGTCAATTTGGTATTGGGTAGCAGAGGACATATGTGACTTGTCCAGGTTAGACATCAAGTAATTATCCACTGGGGGAGTTAATCTGAACAGGAGCTTTCAGCCAGGTCACAACTTACTTCTAGAAGAACTGATAGCATTTCAAATAATTTTTGAAGATTATTATTTTTTTCAGGTTAGAAAGAAATATGGTTGAAGAGTATAGGCTACCAGTTCACAGACCCTGGACTCTTCAGAAGAAGACCCTTGGTTTCCTCCTAGATTGGTGTAATGATGGCATGGTTAAGAATGACTTTTCATTTAAAATTTGCAAGGCACTATTCACAATGCATTGTCTTAGATGAACAGAAAAGTTCACAGATCAAAGGTCCCTCCCTCCCTCTCCTTCTGTCTCCCTATGACAGAAGGGGCGTCAGATCAATAACGTTGGTAGAAGTGGGGCTTCTATTAAGAGTGCTGGTTTAATGAAAACACTCACACAAATGAACTTCCTGGCTTTGCTGGGTAAGTATGGACCAAAGGGACTGCAGCAGCAGCATCAGAAATGGTTGCAAACATCAGCAGGCTTTCTTACAACCGGGGTTCTAAATGGCTTAAGAAGACTACTTTTCAGGTTGGTCCTTCTCAGGCTCTAAGAGCATTATGAGACTTCATTTCCTGTCCATCTTTTAGTCACACCCAACTTCTTATCAGAAAAGAAGACCTATCTGAGAGTTTAAAAGCACTTAAAATAAAAATCCCTAGAGGAGACAGATGAGTTGACATGAACACCAGAACCCTGCGAACAGACCATCTCATCAGTTTTCTCCCAATTATCCCCACCTTCATCCTCTTGATCTCACATCTGAGCTCTGGAGAGAGAGGGAATCTAGTGCAAGGAGACTGTGGGAGGAGGTCAAGGCCAATAACCCAGGGGCTATTCTGTGCTAAGAGTGGTTTGCAATAGCAAATAGGAGCCATCTGATATTTTGTCTTTGGTGAAGTGTGTCAATCAGTCAACATTGATTGTAACACCCTAAAACGACCCCAGTGAAAATGTACAATCTTGTAAAATACTGGGACGCCTAACCAAGTCTAGTTGTCCAGATAAAAATCCCCAAAGGAACAAATAATTAGCACTCAGGTTAGTGTCTCAGAGTAAGGACACTGAGTTTGTTTTCCAAAGGAAGTAAGGAGGGGAAAGAACATACAAATCACACAACATGGCATATGAAGAGTATGCTGTCCAGCAAGCTTGTCAAGAACCAAATAAAGCTTCAACATTAAGGGATAAACACATGTGAGGAATGTATGGTTGAAGTTTTCTTCCCCATAGCTTCATCTTCAGAGAAAACTTTGGTCATTTTTCCCTCTATATTTTTGGTTGTGATGACTGACATAGAAACAAAAGGAAAAATGACCATGCAGATCTGTTAAAGTACAGTGCAGATTAAGGAATGTAGAACATTCATGTTCCTTTTATGCTCTTCCGTAAGAGATCATGTTACCACTTCCAGCTACAAATAATGAGGCATTTCTATCTTTTCCATCCATCATCACTGTCATGTCATTGACATGATGAGCTTGTTCATGGTAAGCAAGTGGCTGTGAGTCATCAGGATGGAGCCGTTAGTTATACACAGAGAGGCAACGTGTAGTCTGGTTGGTTAATCAGGAACTCATAGTGAGAAAGGCCAAATATCATTTCACAGCAGATTGAGGCTTAAAGGTTTTTGGCATAGAACTCTGTCACACTGCTTTTCAAGATGTCCACACATACATGTATGTGTGCATATACATGCATACACGCATGCAGATCTATGTGCAGATCTGTCCCTCAGAATAAGACCTGGCAGTTTTCAGAGTAGCAGTCACCAAAAACACTTTGTGTTCACACACATTTACAAGTTAACAAATGGAATGACTAAATCTTTGGTTTATCAAAAAGAGAACTTCTAAAATCACAACATGTTTGATTATTTTCTCCATAAGTGCACAGTGAACATTATTTTTACAAAAGAGAAAAAAAAATAAAAAACAGTGCCTTAGTGATTTAAATTAAAAAAAAAAAACTGCAATAGCTACTTTCTACAGCATGCAACACTATCAAATGGTGACTCGGAGTCACAGGAAGCCTTAGAGAGACTCTCCTGTGTTGAGTTTGTCAGCTCCCAGCAAAAGCATGAGAGGTGATGAGGAATGCACAATTAGGACCATCATCTTTTTCCCTTTTATCATTTACAACGTGCAACTGTTTTCTTTCAGAAATCAGGCCTAAAATACTCTGTTATAAATATAATTCATATTTATCTTTATAATATAATGATTTCCAATTTCCCCAGAGCAACCTCAATCAAAGATTGCTGTAAATCAAATGAGGGTAGGATGAGCATTGTGACTGATGGACTGAGTTAGCACTTTCCCCCTCAGGAAATTCTTTCAACTTCCTTTTGCAGCAAATGATGCACATAGAGAATAAATTTTCCAGGAGAACCTGGATTTTTAGGTTTTAAAATATGGCTTTATTAGGAGTGTGCTAGACTGAGAAGTCTTCTTCTCCCAATATTGGCACAAAAAAAAAAAAAATGATATCCTCAAAAGAGGAGCAAGAAAGGATTGGTAACTTGAAAGCAAAGCAGAGTGGGAAAAGGATAAACTGAGGTGGACTGTCCACCCCCAAAAGGAAAACAACAATAAAAAGTTGGGCCTCCATAAATAATTGTCCTGTTGTGTCCACGGTTTAACACCCATGGTCTTTATCCCCATGACATAGGAAATATTCACTTTTCCTGTCTGAATTATCCCTGATACTGTTTCCTGAGGCTAGAGGTATCCTTCCAATTTGCTGACATGGTCATCTCTAGTCTCTGGAACTAGGTGGGAAATGTGTTGGAAGAACCTTCCATGACAGAGGGTTCCTTTGTGCTCTCCTCTGTTTCACAGTGCTTATTGCCACAGACAGTGGGAGTGATCTGGCTACTAGTTGAGACGTTAGGAAATTCTGGGTGGATTTCTCTGGATCAAATATAGGTCAGTTGTTATAGTGACAACTCAGAGTTCGTAGGGAACCACCTACTAGGGCAACTTTGTGACCAAAGGACACTGAGTTGATTTCACTTCCCTGGGAATGAATTGGTTCTGCCCTTTTAGCTCCCAAATTGAAGCTGGACATGGTTTCTGTTTTGAAAGACAAGTCATGGAGAGATGAGAAGCAACCGCCATCTTGGGTATGTCTTCCACAACCTTTGACAGAATGGCTTCCCTGTACTCCTAAGAAAGCTTACATTTCTTTCCACAGTACGTCTAATAAATTCATGAGAAAAGTTTACAATGTGAGATTTTATGCCCAACAATGCCTGAGAAAATTTATGAGTGAGAAAAAATATCGGTGTTTGAAAGGTATCAAAAGATTTTTTTTTGGTACTGTTGATCTGAGAAAGCACATTTTTGAATGCATGGCTGAAATCATTAACAGTTAATGAATGTTGGTAAATATCACATCCATATATATATATATATATATTTATAAAGACTCCTATTTGCTCTTGCTGATTGTCAGAGAAGTCTTTTCTTAATTCCCTCTTCCTCTACCTCCCTTTGGATAACATAAGCATGGTAGCATGCGTTTCCTCTGTTTGTCCTTAGCACATTTGCATCAGGCAATCTACCACTGCTGCAAGTGAAGGTCCATGGGAGAATTCAAATTGAGATCTGTGACATCCAGGAAATCAATGTTAAAGATGCTGGGGCCACTGGTGGGGAGGGAGCTGAAGCCTGGGGTGGAACTTGGTGGAGTGAGGTCTAGCCACTCCATGGTTTCCCAAGGAGATTCAGTGAAGCTCAACGGCAGCCCATTGCTGTCCACAGATGAGGGTGAAAACTGAGTCTGCATTGGGGAAAGAGGACCTGGCAGGATCTCGTGTGCGCTGAAAAGGTCTTCTGCGGTCTTCCCAGAGAATCCATCCATTATCCCATCAAAAGGCGGCTCCTCACTCCCAATTTTAAGAAGGGCAACATCGCTCACCTTTCCTAAGGGACTCTGGGAATTTAATAAGACTTCAAGATGCTCATCGCTGTCGGTGCCATAGTGATCGAAAGAGAGCTGGCTGCCTGAAGACACTTGTTCAAAGGAAGCGGAGGGCTTGGGGAGAGGAGCAGCGGGGCTTCGGGAAGACCTGGGGATCTTTGGGACTTTCTGAAGACATGAATGGTCCTCTCTGGCATCAGCAGGCATTTCTGTTGGTAAAACACAATGGGAATTGTTAAATTACTGAAAGCAAGTGTGCCCCACATGGCATCTTGGGAATGAATGAGTTACACTTATACACAGGAGATAACCTTACAGGAGGGACATGCCTCACTGCCAACCACCCCATTTCATGCCTAAACTGCTCTATCTATCCCAGTCTTCTCTCTGCTCTCTCCCCAAGCCCCTTCTCTCTAGAAAATCCTCTTAGGAGGATCACACTCCTAGAGAAGTTTCCTCTAACCTGCTCCTTCCCTGACACCTGCTGCCCCAGGAGACACTGCATGCTCCTTCACACCTTCAGTGTGGGCACATTTACTTCGACCACAGGAGTGGTCACGGGTGCCAGCTCACTTACCCAATATCTCACAGCGACCACTCCTCAGTCACATGGGGTCACTGCAGACTCTGGGCTCTAATTTATCACCATCCATCATCAACCCCTTCCAGTTTCCACTTCTTTCACTTGCCCAGTCTGATCCCCCATTTCATCCCCCACATCTGGATGAAGCTCATTATCTGATTTCTCAGAGTGTGCAGTGATCAGTAGGATATTGTAGAGAAAACATAAGGAAGTTGACCTGCTCCAGTTTAAATTCGTGAATCAGGCCTACAATTGGTATTTAATACTACCTAGTAAACCAACTGTGCTTCTCCAGAAAATTCAATTCATTCACGATTGATTAATAAATTTCCTTCAATCTCCCATACCCCCCTTACCCACACCCTTTGTTGACCCTGTCACATACTTTATTAAAAATGTAGGGGTGTCTGATATGAACCCCTCATCTTTCTGTTTGTCTATATGCAGAAAATGTATATTGATATAGCCACCTGTGTCCAACTCGTCCTTCTTCCCTCTTGTTGCAATGGCAGGAAAGCCTGTTCACTTGCTTGTTGACCTTTGCCCTTTCCACAAAGGTGGGAGCAGTGTTTGCTGTGGCACTGAACTTAGTACCTGGCCGCTCCTCCTCTGCAACTTTAAATTTTACTTAAGGGCTCAGATCTTCATTTATTCTCTTTTGTTTTTAAAGATTTATTTTATTTACACAAGAACTGTGGTGCAGGCCAGAGGTGCGGGGGGATAAGACGATTTACCAGAGACAGAGTGGGGAGCAGAACAGGCAGATCGATGTAGTACACTGCTGAGGGGAGCAGTGGGAGGGTCAGGAGAGGTCCGCCACGCCATGTGGGTCAGCTCCCTGGCCAGGGATTGAACTCCTGCTGCAGTGGCTGAGGCTAGCTTTGTAGTAGTGGGCTCTAACTCATTGCTCCACCAGGGAGGGCCCAGATCTTTGCTTTCTATTGACATGTTTTCTTTACATGACTATTCATTGTGTGATTTCAAATTCTAGGCACATTCTCTGTGATTTTTAAGATATGAATAAGTTATTTAAAAGGAGGCAGGATGGCATGCTGATCACTTGTTTTTGACAGTTTCAGGGGCATTTAAGCATGAACGGCCATCCAGTGGAGGATTGCTAGCTGAATTTCGTTTTGAGTAAGTAACACAGACCTTTGTTATCTGCTCTATGTTTCCTGCAATATAGAAAATTGAGATGGAAAACAGAGAAAAATGGCATAGCAAGAGAGCGTATCCAGGAAGGGATAGTTGGAAAGGTGAAAATTGTTTGAATGATTCAAGAAAAGTGTTCCTGGGAGAAATGCAGTGAGGAACCATAACTCTGCTTCTTTCATTTGCTCCAACTTGGACAGGAAGTTCCCATGAAGTTGCGTTCCACCTGTAGATGGCTTTTTGGTCCATTTAACAATGAGCTCCTGACCTCGGTCCTGAGTCACTACCTAGAGTCCCTGAAGGGCCCACGCAAGGTGCTCTTACCTCCACTTTCAATGAGGACATCCAGGAGTTCATCCATCTGCTGACTCCGAGTCATTTGCTATTGCAATTTGACCAAAGGAGAAGAGAGAAGTTAGAAGGCAGACTGCAGGTTTTTGAATTAGGTTTGTTAGGGTTTTTTCCTTTCCGTGTGGTAAAGTACAAATAGCACAGAGTTGACCAACTTAACTGTGTCAGTGCACAGTGGCATCAAGCACATTCACACTGTTGTGTAACCATCACAACTAACCATCTCCAGGACTCTTTCCATTCTGCAAAATTGCAACTCAACTGTCCCCATCAATAATAACACTCCATCCCTCCTCTCCCAGGCTGCTCTGGCCTGTGACAACAACCATTCTACTTTTTGCTCCTATGAATCTACTATATATATATTTCCATCGAATTATACATATTTGTCTTTTTGTGACTGGTTTATTTTGCTTAGTGTAATGACCTCCAAGTTTCCATGTTATCGCATGTGATAAAATTTCTTCTCTTTCGAGGCTGACTAATATTCACTGTATGGGCATACCACATTTTGTTTCTCCATTCTTCCATTGATGGGCACTCAGGTTGCCTCAGCCATTTTGGCTTTTGTGAATAATGTTATAGGCATGGAGGTGACTGGCTAGAATTTTTTGAGCCACATGGAATTCAGGCTTAAAATTAATTTTGGGCTGGACCAAATGCCCAAAAATAAATGACTGGATAAAAAAGATGTGGTACATATATACAATGGAATATTACTCAGCAACCAAAAAAGAGAAACA